ATTTTTAGTTGTCCAGCTAATTTCTTTCTATTTTTTTTAGTAGAGATGGGGTCTCGCTCTTGCTCAGGCTGGTCTCAAACTCCTGAGCTCAAATGATCCACCCGCCTTGGCCTCCCAGAGTGCTAGGATTACAGGTGTGAGCCACCACGCCTGGCCAAGCGTATAGACTTCTTACATGACCTGGTATGTCCAGTGGTCATTTCTCAGTCTTTGTGTTACCTGCCTGCATTTGACACAGTTTAATCACTCCCTCTTCCTATTTAAACTTTTTTCACTTTGTTTTCAGGCCACTGCACTCTCTTGATTTTACTTCCATCTCAGTGATTGCTCTTTCTCAGTTTCATTATTAGTTCCATCTCTTCTCCTTTACCTCCTGAAGTTGAGAATAAAAAGTATGTGGTTTTGGCTTTTTTCTCATCTCTATCTTCACTCACTTTTTTGTGATTTCACCCATTCTGTGACTTTAAATATCATCTGTATATGAGCAATTTCCAAATTTCAGTGTTTGATTCATACCTTCTTCTGTACTCCACACTCAGTATCTTTATTTGGATATCTAATGGGCATCTCTAACTCTAACATAACTCCTGTCCTTTTCCCCCCAAATCTGTTCTGCCAGCAATATCAGTTAATGGCACTTCTGTTTTCTGTTACTCTGATGAAAAATTTTAACATTATTCTTGCCTGCCTTCTTTTATCTCATATTCTACATCCACTCCATCAGGAAATTCTCTAGGCTCTACTTCTGAAATATATTCAGAATAGAGTTCTCTGTAGCTAAATTCGGTAATATTTCAGGATGGAAGAGAATAAGGAAAGGAAATATTTTTAACACATTGATAAAAAATCTAACTCTATCCTGATACTAAAATTAAAATGGAAAAAGGAAAGCTCTTTTTTACAGAAGAATGCCAACTAATACACATAGAAGGACTGTTAATAGAGAAGACAACCACCTTAGTAATAATTGATTTAAGTAGGAATCACAGTTCTAAAACCTTAGGTTAAAAGGAAAGAAACCACACACAAATGTCCAAGAAATTGGACAACAAAATGTGAACCACAGAAACTGAACTTTGGGATATCAGGCACAATGGAGGCTGAAATGCAGTACTGGATTGGAAACTTGGAGAGTAAAATCTGCATACTGATTGATAAAAACCTCTAATCCTCTTCCAGTGCCCAGTTCCCAGATCTCCAGTAGTGCTACATTTCTTAAAATAAACTTTCAGTCTTTGGTAGCATTGAGAATACTAGTCACTACTATGAGGTAGGGACCCAGACCTGCTTCCTATTCAGATTTTTAATTTTTCCCTCTATTTTAGCACCATCTCCCCTGCCTTCTGTGATACCTGGTGCCTCTGATTTCTAAGATACTTGGGG